GTAAGGCCACAAAATACTCTAAAGGGTATGGTTTCGGTGCCGGGTGTGACTGATGTAAGGATACATAATATATGAATAATCAATTAAAATAGGCAGGTGTAGGTAAGGGTTCTGCTGATGTAAGGGTAGGGTGTGCCACACCCTACCCTTACATCAGTCGGTCCCGGGTGTGACTGATGTAAACCTACCCAGCTCAAACGAAAAGCGTGCTTCTTCATCCAGGCTCTAGTACTGGGGACATGTTGAAGGCATGCTTTCTGAATCCAGGGGGTAGGGTTAGAGCAGTCGGTCCCGGGTGTGACTGATGTAAGGGTAGGGTGTGCCACGCCCTCCCCTTAGAGCAGGAGAACCCTTACCAACACCTTGAAAATTTCATTCTATAATTACCCATAATATCTATTTTAATTGGGTCCCCTGACAGAGTGTATGGCAGACTTCTCATCATCCCATGTTGCACTTTATCGGTGGTTGCAATCCTAGTGATCTTGGCCTATACCCATTTGTAACAATGGGGCGCAAACCGAAAGCTGCTCCCACGGCACCTGATGTGGACACTGGCCCTGGGACGGCGCCAAGTGGCCTGACCCCTAGAGTAGACTCCCGCCAGCCTGCTGATGTTTTGCTTCCCATCCTCAGTAACACAGTGTTGCTCAGGTGCTTCGTGGAATGCTCACATGATGTCCCTCTACCGAGATGCAATCAAGAAAATCAAAGATCACTTCCCTGGGATTGACAAGGAAGGCCCCCCGAAGATTGGTGATGGTGGAACGCAGGCAAGCCCTACCCTAGACCACCCCTAACCCTAGACCTAAACCCTGAACCCTCCCTTAGTCTGAGAATGTGATATTCTGTCAGGCCCCCTTCGAGCCTAAGATGGCCAAGGCTGCGCTTTCTGATTGGGCTGGTGAGTACCGATGCGCCAACAACATCCTGAAGTGTGATCTGGAGTTCAATGCCGATCCCAATGTGACCCTTCTGAATCCGTGGCAAAGTTGTTGGCAATGCGGGCATGAAACTATCATTCAAAGACAGCAGTGTTTCCTGAAGCCTAAGGTGCCCTTGAGAGGAAGTGCTGTTGGAGATATCATGAAGTACAGCTACTCGGAGCCTGCCCTCTTTGCTGAGCCCTTTGAGGTCCATAAATGCTCAACCCTAAACCCTTAAACCCTAAACCTTAAACTGTAAACCCTGAATAACTGTAAACCCTAAACCTTAAACCCTAAAGCCTAAACCTTAAACTGTAAGCCCTTTAAACCTTAAACTGTAAGCCCTTTAAACATTAAACTGTAAACCTTAAACCCAAAACCCTGAACCATAAACCCTTGGGTAGTGTCACTGCAGGCACTTGGGTGACTTGGGGTTACATGATGGTATTCTAATCCTCAAAGGTCACTGTGCCGAAAAATTGGGTGGATGACATGTCGCCATCTAATGTGAAGCCAGTTGTCCCGACAGAGCACATGATAGCGTTCATCCTGCTTCTTGGCTGAATGTGCAATATGCATGTACTGCTGCATGGATGTTACTGGCAACTGGCATGTATCCTAGGTCAGTCGAACGGGATTTGAATGATGAGCAGAAATGTGAAGCATGGAAACATGCGATAGTCAACACGAGTTACGTGTACAAGGTTGCCAAAGAAGACGAGGTTTTCTGGATGGCACAAAACAGCCGTCAACTGAAGAAGTCCCAGTCAATGTCGATGGCGCTGACGTGCTTACAGAAGATATTGTCGGTCTTAAACCACAAGGCCAGACTAGAGCGCAGCAACGGCGGCAAAGAAGTCAGAGTCTAGGCCTATTAATCTGTTTGGGTCCCCATGTCTTAGAATCTTGCAGTTTTCCAGCTACTTGCGTATGCCAATTGGCAAGGTGTTGAGAAATTTTGTGAGCTTTATGACAAGAACTACAAAGCTGCCAGTGAGAATGAGAAGGCTGGGGCAGTAGCAGGGTAGGTTCGAATTCATGCTTCGAACTGATGGTTTGGGGCTTCTGGGGCCTATGCTGGGACCTTCATACTATCTGTCAGTCTTCGTGGGCTATGTAAACTCTGAACCATGAAATCCTAAAGCCCTGAACCATGAAATCCTAAAGCCTGTTGCAGGTGGCTGGTGCCTTTGTGGACACGGCCATTACGGTTGGCAAGCGCGTAGCTTGAATTTCCAGATTGGCAGTAATTCATATGCTACTACCTTTGCCTTTTGGAGATTCCAGGCCTTCATTAAAGTCATAAGGGTTATTTTTCAGGGTGTCCCCATAATAAACCTTGAATAATAATACGGCTAATTTATCTATTTGGGTTCCTGAGTCTCAGGGTTCCCCTAATTTATGCGGCTTGGGGGTTAGGGTTTGGGGTTGAGAGTTTTATGGTTTAAGGGGTAAAGTTTAGGGTCAAATAAGCATGCCAAGCAGCTTGAGAATGCAATTTTTGGCGAGGTACTTCGAGATCCCAAGCTTGCTGAGCTCCTGATGCATGCTGATGAGCATCCCAAAGGATCCCCATTTGACCACTACACGAAGCTGCAGGCCTTTGTGTCTAAGGGCAAGACTGAGGAGGGGATACGGTGGGTCTTTTGTGCTGCGTGCCTCATCTTCAATATGCTTACCGTTCTCACTGTTTTGCGCCGTTCCTAACCTCAACTTTACCTGACTAAGATGGGATGGCTATGTCAATGGCTGGCTATCATCTGATTACCTGACGAAGCGCGCCCTACTTGGAGAGAGCTGGCCAGGTGGAACGGTCAACCTGCTCCTGGGAATGAGTGATACGAAGAAACTGCTCCTCAGTGATTGTGCGGGGACCCTTGGCTCCATCTAGTCATGAAACTGAATTCTGCTGGTTCTGAAATGTTTGCTTCTGCTGGCATTTCCTAAGGAAGTTCTCATGGGATACAGCTGTGAAGACCAAGATGGTTGAAGTTTTTGACAGCCATGAGAGCTACCGAAAGCTCCCTGATTGATTCTGAACACATGCTTGATTCTACTGGGGCAGTGTCTTACTACTCAGTGTCCAGGTTCTGCGGCGGGAAAGGTGAAACGCCCGACTTGACGTGGAAAGCAGGACTCATGTTTGATTGCTGTAGTTATGGGCTTTGATAAGGTCTACAAATACCTTGTGAGGATGGCCGAAATCTGCTTTGAAGTTCTTTGATCATGTGGAGGACTGCAGAGCCTGCCCCCAAACCTCCATGAAAACCTCATTTGTTCCCTGCCAGAACTGCATCTTCTCTGAGAGCTACCTGGGAGCCTACAAGCAGCTCCTCAAGAACCGCAAGCAGGTGGGAAATAAGCGTGGCAGGAGTGCTAGCCCCAAAATGTCATTCTCCTCAACCCAATCCCCCTAATTTCTGTAAATCCTTAGAGGCCCTCAACCTTAAGTGCAGAACCTGGAATGTGATGACCCCAAGCTATCTCCATGATTCTAGGCCCTGACATTAAGTATCCTCCAGGCGCCTGATTGGCTGGACCATCAAGAAATTGATAAGTCTTTCCAAGACATCATTGTGTCTGGGCCCCTACTCAATGGCTAACCTGATTTCATCAATGCCGGGCCAAAGGATCTTTGAATCAGAGGAGAAAGAACGCAAGAAGGCAGGATCCTGGTTTCTGCTTCCTAGACCCACAGTGTTAGAAGACATTACATCCCGGAGGCAACATAATCATTTTGGAAATGTACTTTCAAACACTTGTCCAATCTAAACCTATCTGTGTATTCTTGGGCTCCTTGAGAAACCAGCAGCTGGAGCCACGCGTCTGTGAGCACCTTAGTTATGCAGTTTTGGGTTTGATGAGTTTAGAGTTAGGAGGCTCCAATTTATATGGTCTGGGGCTAGAACTTTTTTTTTTATGGTTTTAGGCTATATCTTAGACATGGGCTTGGGGCTCAGGTGGCCTGAGGCTTGGTGGTTGGGAAGGCCTTCACCTGTTTAAACCCTAACGGCAAGTCCCATAGACCCGCCTAAACCCTAAACCCCCTAAATACCCCAAACCCCCTAAATCCTGAAATACAGGTCACTCTGTGTCTGGGCTGGGATTTCTCCACTTGAACATAGGTATCCATGTTTCGGCCTTGGGGTAAGTTGTGGCTTAAACTTGTCAGTTTGAGGGGCATTTGTGTTTAGAGGGCTTCATGGTTCAGGACAGGGGGTTTTGGGCCACCATTGAATAAAAGCTGCTCAGTGTTCTGACTCCATGATTTTTAGGGCAAGTTACTACTAACTGCTACCCTGCCAACTGACAGTTTGAAGCCTTTGGGCTTAACGTATACATCCAATGGATGCAGAAACCTGTCAATTCAGCTCAATATCCCAAGCCCGAAGTTAAGCCCATTAATTCAACTTGAAACCTGGTAAGCCCAGAAATTCCACTGACTTCCCTTTGGGATATGGAAGGGTTCTGAGGTCATTCAATTCCCTAATCCCGGAACCCTAAACCCCTAAACCTGGAACCCTAAACCCCTAAACCTGGAACCCTAAACCCCTAAATACCCGGAACCCTAAACCCCTAAACCTGGAACCCTAAACGCCTAAAGCCTGGAACCCTGAACCCCTGAAAACCTGGAACCCTAAACCCTAAAAACCTGGAACCCTAAACCCCTAAAAACCCGAACCCTAAACCCCTAAACCTGGAACCCTAAACCCCTAAAAACCCGGAGCCCTCAACCCCTAAATCTGGAACCCTAAACTCCTAAAAACCTGGAACCCTGAACCCCTAAAACCTGGAACCTTAAACCCCTAAAAAACCTGGAACCTTAAACCCCTAAAAAACCTGGAACCCTAAACCCCTAAAACCCGGAACCCTAAACCCCTAAAACCTGGAACCCCAAACCCCTAAAGCCTGGAACCCTAAACCCCTAAAAACCTGGAACCCTAAACCCCTAAACCCCTGCCCGGAACTTCTGCCAGGCAGCCGGTGAAGCGGTAAAGTCTGAGGATGAGAAGGAAGAAGTCAAGGCTGATGAAAAAGAGAAGCCAGTTGGCCTTGATCACATGAAGGCGCATCCTTTTGATGAATCTCTCATTGAACTAGTTGTTGTTGTCAATGTGGCATCAAAAGCTCGTTCCTGCTAGATCAATTTTTGGGCTGAAAGCATGGATTGAGATCTGCAATATGCTGCCCCCATGGGCCAAGAGTGCAATGGCAATCCCCATAGCCTGCAAGATGAGCTAAGAAGGTCAAATGCATGGGTGGATGATGAAGGATCAGGCAGTGAGATTGGCCCACCACCTTCAGCCCGTGAGTCTTTCTCAGCGTCAGCGAGTGAGTGGGGGTATGCCCGGTGCCATGATGATTCCTCTACAGTCAGTGACATATGCAAGAGGCCTGCCAAGTCTGTGCCTGCAAAAAAACCTGCTGGGAGAATGGACATGCGGGCTGATGGCAGTCGAAGCAAGAACTGTGCAAAAGGGTCATCGTATGCCAAGGGCAGTACTGGGGGCAATGGCAAAAGCAAGAGCCATGCAAAAGGGTCATCATGTGGTGCAAGCACTGGCGAGCGCATGCAGACAAAAGCATCATCAGCATCCAAGCCCATGAAGACTATGAAGGCCAAAAAGGCCAAGAAGTAACACCATGTAGGTAGCAGATGGCGGCTACAAAGTTTTTGATTGATGCAATGGCATCAGAATCCTGCAGTGTGTTCATGCGGAAAAGAGCTGATGCTGAGCAAGTGTACAATTTGCCTAGTTCCAATTCCGCCCTTTCCTGCTGCTGAAGTCCCTCAACCCCAAGCACGAAATTGACAGGTCACTTTGCCAACGGCCAGTGGGAAGAAGACCACGAGCGATGTCGTGGCGAAGCTTGATGATGATGCCACCCGGAAGTTGCTCATGCACCTTGCCAGACCAGAGAAGTACACTGTTCATGGATTTAAGATCAACATGGAAATTTGCCCTGAGTTCCTCAGGTTCAAAGAAAAGGCTATCAAAACAGTGCGCACACATGTGCTGCTTATTCCGGAAGCAGTGAATACGAAAGAAATGACGAAAGCGCTGAAAGCAACAAGTTTGCCGGAATGGAAGGGAGAGGTGACCAGCAATGCGAACAATGAGTGCCTCGGAGAGCATGTTTATACTGCCACCACCATGTGTGTAGAATAGCTCGAAATAACTGCATTTGTACATCACATGTGCAGTGGTGGTCAGGGTTACCTTCTTGAAGTCGATTGCGATATACTTCGACTCTTGCCTGCGCATATTCGCATGCATTCCCTGAGTTGCTGCATTCCAACCTCCTGGGAACCCTAAAACTAAAATCCTTTTCAATACAACCTTTGGGGTAGGTGTTCAGGGTTTAGGGCTCAGAGTTTTAATTTTGGGTTTAGGTTTTAAAGGGTGTAGCGGTTCAGGCTTCAGGGTTCATGGTTTTGAGCTTTAGGGGTTTCAGGTGTAGGGATTTATGGCATAGGTAGGGCGGTTTAGGGGTCTAGGGTTTAGGGTTTATGGGGGCATGGGGGCTTGAGGTTTTAGAATTTCTGCTTCAACCTGAGGATTCCAAAATGTCTGGGGAGGCAGCAACACAACCTAGCGTTCGGCTGCCACCGCTCCGTGAAGGGCGGCTCCCAAAGCTAATGCAAGCAGCCCTTTCATGCAGGGTCACGGGGGAGTCTATGCCAGACCATGACTTGGCCATTCTTCTAGATGGAGGCCGAGAAGGCCCTTCATTAGTGGAGAGCTCTAGCTAAGCACTAGTGATGCTGTACTTAGTCTGCTTGCTTTGAGCTTCTGCTCGAATCATGTGGGAGGTGTCCAAAGCTCATTGCTGGGCAGCCTGAAAGACCCGGATGGTGGCAACATCAAGAAAGAGAAGACAGTGCTCACCATACATCACGATGAGGCTTCAATTAGGTCACGGAGAAAGCGTGATCGTGGACACCGTGTCATGAACTCCGAGCGAGTTTACATCATGACGAGCGAAGAGGTCCTACCCGGTTACAGAGACCGAGCTCATTACAATGGCACTACTCGAGGGGAGATGATCGGACCGGCAAGTGTGCCGTCATGGGAGGACATGGGGCTTAGGGTTTAGGGTTGAGGGTTATTTAGGGCCTGTGCTCTAGAGCCCCTACTCAGATTACTCAGTTGAGCAAGCTATAACTGTCTACCTCAGGACGGAGAGGAGACCTGGCTGCTGCCCTATGGGGAGAAGAAGAAGATCTATGGATCTCAGATGGTACGTGTGGGCGGGAAGAATGAGCCTGATGAGGCAGGTGCAGGCCAGCGTGGGGTCTCATGGGTATGGGGGCGGGGTTTAGGGTTCAGGGTTTTAGGGTTGAAGGCTTATGCAAAATTATTTGCTTTGCCAGGCCGCCGCCAGGATACTGACATGGAACCGATGTCATACCACTCACTGCCTGAGAATGTCGCAATTTGTTTTGAAAGTTTCAAATGTTAGGGTTAAGGATTTATTTAGGGTTTAGTATTAGGATTTAGGGCTTATGTTCTAAGATCTGGACTGCTGCAAATGAATTACTCAGGTCGATGAATTCTTCCATGCCTATAACATTGCGTACATGTTGGACTTGAGCGTGGGAGATGGGAAGACCTGCATGGTTGCAATCAAGCGGAATGCTTCCCTCATTGGTGTGTGCTTCACCAATGATCACAGGGATGCCCTTTATGCCCGTCTAGAAACCGAAGTGTTCAACCAGTTCCAGAAGGCTGATTCCAAGCTCTATGAGCCGGCGTTGGCAACCATCTTGGGGACCCACAAGAAGAGAAAGGCCCAAGAGGAGCCTCGCCAAATTGGACCCTAAATACCCTAATCCCAAACTCTTGATTCTTGTTCTTTTAAACGCCAGGCCCTGAATCTGTAAGCATTGAATCCCATCAGCCAGGATGATGGTGCATTTAAAACAAAATGAAAAGAACCCTGGCCCGGAGCAATCAGTGGTAGATATTAGCTTGGTACTGTTGATCAGTGAATGCCAAGGACAAGAAGCCAAACAAGACAGAGAAGCCGGGAAAAAAGGATACCAAGGATGATACAAAAGAGGAAGATGAAGAGGAGGAAGATGAGGATGAACAGGAGGAATCTGAGCAGGAAGAGCCAGAGGAGGATGAGGAGGACGGTGCGGAGGAGCCTGAGGAGGAGGGCATTGACTCTGATGAGGAGGCAGGCCCTGATCCCAAATCCCTAAGCTTGAAGCCCTAAACTGATGTCATTTTGAGCTGCTGGCCCTCACAATAATAACCTGACAAGCTGTAAGCTTCATAGCCCTGAATGCCTCACACCTTTTACTTAATGAAGCCTGACATTTTATCCAGAGTCTGATCATATTTAATTCTGCCCCCATTTAGACTGTAGCTCACATGAAGCTTTCCAAAATGAAATCCACCCTTCCCTCCCAGCTGTGGACTGTCAACATCCAATGTCAGGTTTCAGCATCTTACAACCTGAAACCCTAAACCCTTAAGCCCTATAATCCCTGATGCTTAGTCATGGGGCTGGATCCTGACAGAGGGTTTAGGCTTTGGGCTTTAGGGTTTAGGGCTTCAGGGCTTTAGGGCATGTGGTAGCTGTCAGATACTGGATGTGGCATGTTGCTAGCCTAGGGGCCTGAGTCCTGAAAAAGGTTTAGAACCATTATTTCAGAAAAAGTTAAGCTTTATAAGGGGTTTCACATAGATGGGGTCAAGCGGCCCAGAAGCCCTTCAAGCACCTTACAAGATGATCTGAGACCCTTAGAACTTAGAAGTGCACAGAAGCCTCAAAATACTTGTCATTCTCCTGGAACCTCGAAAATCCAGGCTTAAAGTTCGGTGTTTAGGCATTTGGGCTTAGGCAGTTAGGGTGGAAGGGTTTTTCTCTGTATTATGAAGCACAGCCTGGTAGCTTAGTCTGTCAATCTGACAAGAGGCTCCGAAGATCCGAAAGGGCCGTGGGCGCGGGCGTGGCGGACGTGGTGGCAGGGCAACACCTGCGGCGAAAGCGCGTGGAAGGGGAAAGGGAAAGGGACGTGGCCGTGGGACAGCCAAGGCCAAGGCTGGTTCATGTCAGCTTTTAGGGTTTAAGGCTTGTATAAGGGTTCAGAATTACTTTGCAGGAGCCTAAGACGCCCAAGGTTCAAGGCTTAGGGTCAAGGGTTTGAGACTTAGAGTCTGGGTTTTTTGTGGCTTCATTCTTTCAAGCTTCAAGCTGGGGCCTAAAGGTGAGGCATGGGTCTGAGACTTTTTTTGGTTCGGTGTGGGGGCTTTGCTTGCCTGAGTGTCTCAAGGCTGAAGGGTTCGCTCTTCAGTTCGGCTTTTGGGGTCAGGGTTTGTGGCTTACAGTTCAGGTTTGGGGGTTTACTGCACAGCGGTTCTGTAAGGTTTAGGGTTTAGGGTTTAGGGTCTAGGGTTTTGGGTTTTGGGTTTAGGGTTTAAGGGTTTAGGGTTTAGGGTCAGGATCTGTGGACAAGCAGACTTGTCTCCTGTGGGGATGAGGTTCCTGGGCTTGGGCCCTAAGCCTTAGGGTTCATGTCATGTTCTTGGGCTTAGGGTTCATGTCATGGGGTGAAGTGCGCAGCCTCAGGGCTTGGAGTTTAAAGGCTTAACCCTATAAAATGTTATACAGGCATTGTGGGGCTTATGACTGAAGGTGGTAGGGCTTGATTCAGTCCCAGGGAAATCCAATGTCGGATGCCAATGTCAGATGCTTTTGATATGGCTTGTCCACCTCGATGTCAAATCCATGGTCTGTTGCTTCACCCCGATATCTTTCTTCCACTTGGTGAAAACAGCATCTCACTCTGCCAGAGCGTGCGAAGTGCTCGAGTCACCATGGTGACTTGGCAGGGCTGTCATTGGTGCCCCTCACTTCATTGAATCAATGCCGCCGGTGTCAGGGAACTTGGCCCATTGCACTTCTTGGCTTTGACACATTTAGGGCTTAGGGGTCAGTGGGGTCCTAGCCACCAGTGGAAGCTTGAAACCAAAAGGGCATTCAAGAATCTATGGCGTTTCTTCATTTTATAAAAAGGGTCAGCTTATTTTTGCAGTTTCATATTGGCTCAGGGTTTAGGGCTTATGGTTTGAAACCTTGAACTATTCAATCCAAAATCCCAGAGACTCAACAGGTAAACACCTGCGTCTTGACACGCTTTCAACAAATATTATGAGGCATTATTGCGTAAATTAAGCTTGCTGAAGCAATGAAGCCTTCCACCTGTCACTCAAATCCCAAGATGATGTGCCAAATCCAGCCCCCAACTGCTAGACCCTACGCTTTTATCCCTGAGGCATGAGAGCATCCCCAAATCCCATTTTCAGCCATCACCTTCCTTCTGGTGCTCTGGCACATTGATAAGGTGCAAAACTGGAAGCCTTTCAAATCTCTAAGCTGTACTTGGGTGATGCTTGTTATCCCAGATTTCACCCTGACAAACTATGTGTAAATACTTTGCAAAGTAAACCCTAACCCTGACTTGGAAGGCGACTCCGAAGAAGAGTGTGCTGAAGAAGCTCCAGAGCCTGATGTGAGGGCTCAGACATGTCCATGAGATCTTCATAAGCCCCACTGAGAGTTCTGAAATCTCTGAGGCTAAGGTATGGGGTGTGCAGTTTGGACATGTGTGCAGCATTTACAGGCTGCAAAGTTTTGTACTGAGAGGACTCAAAATGTTTTGACTGCAGTATCATGATGATCATGAGACCTCTCCAATCGAGCACTGTTTGGCTACTGCCCCATGAGTGTTTAACTAGAAACCAGCAATTTTCTTACAATTATTCAAGTTGATGAGTGGGGTAATATCCAATGCTGTGTGGGGACTTGCGGCATTTAGCTGCATACTTTTGCGTTGCGGATGAGAATCATGAAGAGTCATCCAACGAAACTGGCCGTGCACAACAGTGGAAAGTGGAAAGGCAGAGTATTCGCGTATGATTTCAGTGTTTGACTTGTTTGGGCATGGGGCTGGAACTGAATGTGCGCAGGTTCACTTTCATTTCCCACAGGCTCCACAGGATTAATAGGCAATGGGTGAGGCGCCTGAACTTTCATGAAGCGAAGTTCAACCTAGAATCCCTCAAACCATGAAAGCCGCTCATGCCCAACACCCCCTGAAAATATGCAGACCCTAACTAAGCGCAAAAAATACAATTCAAATCCAACACAGTTTATAGAGGAGGAGACTCTTGAATCAAGTCACAATTTTGGACTAGTAGTAGTATAGTAGTAGTAAGTAGTTGTAGATACTACGTATCTTAATGTAGCAGCAGTAGAACCACTGATGAAAAAATTGCGTCTCAAGCTGGCGTCTGATTGTGCCGGGCTGGAACCACTTTCTGCAAGTTGCAGGTGCTTGGTGACCAAAACTTTGTTATGAATTGTAAACAGCAAGAACACATGCTTTGCTGCCACTGCTGGCCCTGAGGTTGGCTGGATTACATCACCGCTTAATCTATGCCTCTGAGCTGGACCCTGTGTTGCATGATCGCATCCAGCAGGTTCACAACCCAGACTGCCTGGTTGATGACATGCTGAAGCATGACATTGGTTCCTGGCCTTCAAGTAGACAGCAGCTCTGCCATGGCATTCTCAAAGTTTAGAGGATTATTTAGGATTTACTTATTTAAGGTTTATGGTTAGGGATTTGGGTTTAGAGTTCTAGGGTTTAGCTTGTTTTGTTATATGTTGGGAGGTGTCTATTGTGAGCTTCAGGGTTTGGGGGTCAAGGTGTCTATGGGTTGAGATGATGATGATCGAAAATAAGGCCGTAGCAATGACAGGGGTGGGGGTTTATGCCATTTCTCTGAACTAAGTCTGGAATTCGCATATCCATCTGTATGGGGCTGGTGCTCCTTGCCAGCCTTTTTCGGCTATGGGGCGGCATGGTGGATGTCTCGATGAGCGCTCCACTGTGCTGGTGAAGGCTGTTGGTGGGCCCTCTACGTAACTGCGTGTCATGTTGTCAACTACTGAATCCCTCAACTTGAGCACTCCTTCCTGGTCTGGCTCAGGTAGCCAAACGTATACCGAAGATGAAGCCTGATGCCTTCATACTGGAGAATGTCCCGCTGCTGGCTTCGAAAAAACACCGCAAGTTCTTCCTCCGCCTGGTGAAAATGCAGCTCACCTGATTTCATCTCAGAACCCATGATGTGTCATGCAGCAGCAGTCTTTCATGTAACTGAAGTCCCTAAACCCCTTAACCCTAAATCCCTAAACCCTAAACCCCTAAACCTGAAAAACCCTGGTTGGGGTGTTGGATTTCGCTGGCCTCCCCTCCATGGATGGTAGACACTGGCCTGGGCCCAAGGGCCCTAGCACTCCGCCCCCGAACCCTTCAGAAGTCCCAAGATCCAACAAGGCATCACCCAGCATCCCCCGGGAAGACCCAGGTGCTCCTTGTTGAGCCTTAAGCCTCCAAAGAACTTCAAAAGGAAGCTCTAAAGCCAGAAAGTCCAGGATAGCTCATGCCCAGCAGGCGCTTTAGCCCATGTACCCTGCTGTCATCTGTACCATGCTGGCATATCGACCAATATGCTGCTGGCACAGGTTGGCCTCAAGCATGATTTAAGCTCCACCCGCCCCACACCCGGCCACTGGTGTGCATGCTGATGGGCATGTGGGTAAGGCAAGTGAATCACAAGATTGAATGACAAAGACACCAGCCCTAAATTGCAGCTTGCTCTGTGAGGCGAAAAAGGTGCTGTAAAAAAACCCTTGACCCCAAAGCCCCAAGCCCCAAATCCCTAAACATTAATTCCTACTTAACTACTTAACCCTCAACCCTAGGCCTTAAAGCCCTAGATCCCAAATAAAAATGGGAAGCTCCCGCAAAGATTATAACTGTCATCTAGTTTTGCGGAGTCTCTTGGCATCGGTGCTGAGGATGTCACTCTGCTGCTGGTAGGTGGT